TTCCTCGGTTTGTTTGGTTTGTCTCCTGCTTCTGAGGCTCCCAACACTCCTTGTTGGTAGTAGCTGAGGAACCAGGTGCCTTTAGTTGAAGGAAGGGAGTCTCCAGCCTGTGGGGACAAAAGCATTCCTGGGCTGGGTGCTTGTGGTGGAATCCCCCTTACTAATGTCCTCTGCCAAGTGGGGTCTCTAGGTGAGAGAGGAGTCCCAGACTGGTGGTGGGAAAAGAGAGCACTTCCCTGGCAAGATGTTGATGGAGGGCTTTCAGCTGGTGCTGCTTGCTGTTTCTGTGGGACTTGTCTAATGTTGTTGGCAGGATTTCTGTTCAATTTGGAGGAAGAATAAGGTTAACTAGATGCCTTCCCTTGCTAGATTGGGTATTAGGAAAAGCTGGGCCTGGGTTATCTTTTGTTGGGTTGGGGTGGAGGGGATTATAAAATGCCCTGCTGCTGTGACCTAGGATTTCTGACCAATTAACCTTCCTCTTTCTACTTTTCAGAGTTCTCTTTTGGTTGTCTCTTGTGTTATTTCCAAGGTTTTTAGTTGTGCTTAGCAGGGAGAGAAAAGTCTACACCATCTTGCTTAGACTGGAAGTTCTGTATATATGCTTATTTATTTATTCTGAGACACAGTCTCACTCTGTCGCCCAGGCTGAAGTACAGCAGCATGATATCGGCTCTCGGCTCACTGCAACCTCTGCCTTCCAGGTTCAAGCGATTCTCTTGCCTCAGCCTCCTGAGCAGCTGGGATTACAGGCATGCATCTCCATACCCAGCTAATTTTTGTATTTTTAGTAGAGATGGGGTTTTGCCATGTTGGCCAGGCTGGTCTCAAACTCCTGACCTCAAGTGATCCACCTGCCTCAGCCTCCCAAAGTTCTGGGATTACAGGTGTGAGCCACCGTGCCCGGCCTATATCTGCTTATTTAGATGTAAGATCTCTCTAGAAGGGTACACAAAGAATTGATAATATTGCTTCCCCTGGGGAAGTGATTTGGGGGATATGAGGTAAGAGAAATACTTTTTTATATACCTGTTTTCATTTTAATCAAATGAAAGATTATCTTTTTAAAAATAAAATGCAAAAGAAGAAAGAAATCTTCTAACTCAGCCTTGTTTTCAAGAGCACAGCCAAATATTATAACAGTGGCCAAGTTGTGTATGGATTCAACAGTTGGTAATTTTATTAAATTTCACTGATTTTTAATTTCACTATATTGTGACTGCTTTGATCCAGATCCCACAATATAAGAATAATATTCTCAGTGGATTTCCAGCTTGCTCATACATTTTGAATAACTTGCAGAATACAAATATGTAATTTAGAGAGAAGTAGATGCTTTTGGCAGCATACTAGTACCCTAATCACCTGAAAAAATAATATTTGTATGACATTAAAACAAAATTAATAGCAAGACACTAATTACATGAATAGACTTTATGTTGTAATTGTTAAATTTGCAAACAACTCAGCATAATTAATGCCTTAATTAACATATGACCTGCAATTTTAGCTTACAAAATTAATAAAGACAATTAAGAGTCACATTTTTAAAGTGAAGTGGATTTTTAAAATTACAAGGAAGTTGGATGTCACTTTTTTCCCTCCCCGTTTTGGGGAGCAGTTTTGTAGTTATTACAAAAATTAATTAACTGACAATGCAGTTATGGCATTCCCTCCCACCTCCCCTCCCCCAGCACAGTGTCCCAGCCTGAAGCCTTCAGTCAAATTCAGTGATCTTCAGCCAAGGACGTCCACCAACAGGTGTGGGCAGCTCCCAGGCACACTCCTCTGGATAGGTCTAGGGCAAAATAGAAAAGCAAAGACTTTTCTCTCCCTAGCACCTTAAGGGAAATATAAACTAGAAGATTGATATTCACTTTGATCAGACTCTACCATTTTCATGTAACTATTTGGTTCCAAATTGCAGTTCGCACCATTGTCATTTCTTCTTCAAAACATGCTTCTCAAAGGCATTTCAGTCCTACAGTTTGCCAATGGTGAAGGTTCCAATCCAAACCCAGAGAATTTCCCATTAATAGATAAATATAGAGACTCAATAAGTATTAGTGGGCTAAGCATTTGGAAAAAAATTAGATCTGGAATTTGACCTCATTCCTTTTTCATATTTTGGCATATGAAATATGCCAAAATAAACCTCAATTGGATCAAGATTTAGTGTCAAAGCAAAATCATAAATGTGCCAGAAGAAGATAAGGTGAATATTTTTATAGTGTTGTAATTGCAAGAGGTCTTTTAACCATAATTGGTAAAACAAAAGTCATAAAAAAGTGACTAACAAATTTGCCTAATTTTAAACTTCTGAACAGTAAGAAAAAGCACATAGGTTAAAAAAACCTAATTCAAGACTAAATCAAGAAGTAACTGATTAAAATCTGAAAATTTATTTATACTTTGATTCTTTTTTTCCCATAAAGGCGTAGCTTTTTACCTCATAAGAAAATAAGTAATTGAAAATATGCATTGTAATATATGTACATTAAGTATAAGGAATAAGTAAAAGAACTTATGTGTTCAATAACAACTTGCAATGTGACCAAACAAATTACAGAATAACCATAGACTAACACCATTAAAAATCAGACTATTTAGTAACATCAAGATATTTTCATGATAAGACCTTGTTAATTAAAAAAAAAAAAAAAAAAAAAAAAAAAAGCAGTAGTAGTCCAGGCGTAGTGGCTTACGCGTGTAATCCCAGCATTTTAGGAGGCCAAGGTGGGAGGATCACCTGAGGTGGTGAGTTCAAGACCAGCCTGACCAACATGGAGAAAACCCATCTCTACTAAAAATACAAAATCAGCCGGGCATGGTGACAGGCACCTGTAGTCCCAGCTACTCAGGAGGCTGAGGCAGGAGAATCACTTGAACCCGGGAGGTGGACGTTGCAGTGAGTTGAGATCGCGCCGTTACACTCCAGCCTGGGCAACAAGAGTGAAACTCCATCTCAGAAAATAAATAAATAAATAAATAAATAAATAAATAAATAAATAAGAGGTAGTTGAAGAATACAGACTAACACAACCTGATTTTTAAATGTCTTTTCTAGATAGAAAAAAAAAGACTGGAAAGAAACAAAATACTAATGATAATTATTAGTAGAGGTAGGATTATGGATAAATGTTATTGCCTTCATTTTTGGTAATTTGCAAATTCTCTACAATAAGCAAATTAGTTTTGTACTTAACATTGTTTTTTGCAAGTTGGAAAACAGTTTAATCATCAGTCACCAAAACCCACAGGTGTATCTTAAATGTTTACAAGCACAGATTATTCCACTATTTCTGTTATCACCATGTCCTTCATGGTAGAGTATCACAAGTCAAAAGTTTCTGGTTGTTTCATCTGCTTAAAACTACATGTAAGAAAGAACCTGAGTCTTAGCAAATTTAGGCTTTAATGTGAAACTGTCAAGGCTCTTCTGGCACTTTGGGAGGCCAAAGTGGGAGGATTACTTGAAGCTGGGGGTTCAAGACCAGCCTGGATAACAAAGCAAGATCCCATCTTTTTAAAAAGGTAATATCAAAAAATTAGCTAGGCCTGGTGGTCCTGATAGCCTGAGTAGCTAGCCTGAAGTCCTAGCTACTCAGGAGGCTGAGGTGGGAGGATTGCTTGAGCCCAGGGGTTCGAGGCTGCAGTGAGCTGTGATCAGACCACTACACTCCAGCCTGGGTGACAAAAGTGATGCCCTATCTCTAAACAAACAAGCAAACAAACAAACACTCTCCTGGAAAGATTTTCCCTCTCTGAAAGCAGCTGCCTCGTCCAGAAGGTGGGTAAAGTCCACACATCTTTCTTCCTCCAACTAGCCAAGAGACAGTTAAATACCTCAAAATGCCCTATGAGGTCCCAAAACATTGTCAAGACAAGTATCGGACAGGCTACATGCCTTGCAGGTGGGACAAATATCAGAATTTTGAGAAATTCATTAAACTCATCATGGAATTCTTGGAGGACTGACATACTACAGCACCAGTGCAGAATATCTCCTGGAGTAGGAAGCCCTGAACTAGTGTTTCTTCTGTCACTGATATGCCTTTCTAGACTTCGGTGTAGAAGCAGATGATTTTTTTGTGTGTTTTGAGTTGGGGATTTGTCCCTTCGACTTTAATTTTACAGCTTCCCTCATATGTTTGGTTGTAGTAGTGGCGTTTCTCCCTCAATATTTTTTTATTCCTTGGATACTTAAAAAGACATTTCAAAGTTTTCCAAAAATAACTAACTTGGAACTAGACTATAAAAGCTCAAAAGTAAGGGCTTGAGAAATATGGCTTACAAATACAGCATTCTACCCAACTCCTTTTATTAAAAAAGAGTTCCTCTACCTGACTCAGTGATGCTATATCAGATGGGTTAAATGACAGTGGTTGGCAGGGTGCGGTGGCTCATACCTGTAACCCCAGCACTTTGGGAGGCCGAGATGGGCAAATCACCTGAGGTCAGGAGTTCAAGACCAGCCTGGCCAACATGGTGAAACCCCGTCTCTACAAAAAAAAAAAAAAAAAAAAAATTAGCTGGGTATCGTGGCACGTGTCTGTAATCCCAGCTACTTGGGATGCTGAGGCAGAGAAATGCTTGAACCCGGGAGGCGGAGGTTGGAGTAAGCCAAGATTGAGCCACTGCACTCCAGCCTGGGCGACAGGCTGAGACTGTCTAAGAAAGAAAAAAAAAATGACAGCGATTGGTTGTGGTCAGTTCACTCATTTCTCTCTCTCTCTCTCTCTCTCTCTCTCTCTCTCTCACTGCAAGTCTAAGACATAGGCTGCCCTTTCCTAAGGCCCAGCATCATCAGTGAGTTCTTTCATAAAATCAGTGCCATGCCTGTCCATTCCTCACTCCTATGTTGTAGAGCAGGGAACATTAGATCTAAAATTTGGATTACCTGGTCTTAGCAAGAAGCTTATGTCTTTAATGGAGGCACCTACCAGTCACAAAATAACTATCACTAGTAGCACAAGAAAAGTCACCATTGAACTCTGTACCTGTAGGTTTTCTTAATTTCTTCATTTGATGCTCCCTTACGCAGACCAAGAATTTCGTATAGAGCTTCTCCTGTTGTTGACAGAGTCCGCTGTCTTTGGCTAGGTACGTTACATGCCATTTTCTAAGGCTGTAAAACTAAAGGAGAGAAAATAGCCATGAAGGTTATGCACACTACTTCCCACTCTCTAAAGGGGAAGACAGCTCATGTTTGACCTTTTGTAAAATGACAATCTGAAGAATATTTGTGTACCAACTGCAAAAAGAGGGGAGAAAAGGGTTAGGAGAGCCAAAAGCAGAGCTCTGAATCAGGGTGTTATAAGGGTACAGGCAGCCATGCAAATGGAACAGGGCTTCGTCCATACAGTTAAATAGAAGAAAAATGTCATCTAAACACCCAGTGAATTCAGAATTGTTGAGAATCAATCCTCACAGGCCAGGCAAATGTAGAGCTTTTTGGTCTTTTGTTTTTTTCTGGAATTTGCTTAACTTCTTGTTCATATATTTTCCAAATTTAGCCAGCAATGGAAGTGGTGGATATGGGGCAAGCAGTGGCTGGGGGATGTTGTCCAAATTATGCTAAATTTCAGTTTAATAGGAGGAATAAGTTCAAGAAATCTGTTGTACAACTTGGTGACAATAGTCAATAACAATATATTATATATGAATGTGAAAATAGCTAGGAGAGTAGATTTTAAGTGTTCTTACCACACAACAAAAAGAGAAATGAGCTAATGTGTTTGCTTACCTTAGCAATTAGCTTACCTTAACCATTCCATCACGTATGTACACATAAGGCAAAACATCACACTGTACACCATAAATATACACAATTTTTGTTTGTCAAATAAATAAACAAATTGACATAATAATTCAAATCCCAGGACTACAGAATATAGAGTTAGAGGCCATCTAGGCCATCTTAACAAATGCCTTTTGGGGTGTTCTGGCCAGAGATCATAGCAGTAGATAATTTTCCTATTAGCCATTTAGCTTTTCTTTTTCTGGGGAGTGCATACGTTCCCCAATGCAACTTGCGCTTTTTCTGAGACCTACCTCAGTCTTACCCAATCTCCGTTAGTCCACCAGGTGGAAGTACCTGACCCAAGTCAGACCAATTAGAATCCTTCCCTAACATTTTAAAAACATAGAACAGTCTCTCAGATGGTGAAACCTATACAATTGAACATTTGAGTATTGTTGGCTGGCCTGAATTAAGAGACGGTGAAAGAGAGTGAGAGCCTCAGTGGGGTTCAGTTCCTGGCTCCGGTTGTTCTCGGGTCCACCTGCAACTCTTACCCGACAACAGTTTGTCTATCAACCCTTCCTTGGATTGGGCCAATAAAATTCCTCTCCATGTACAAATGTACACACATATTTTTTCTTGTGTGTTTCAGCTAGGTTTTGGTCACTGTCAACCAGGACTCCTAAGTGCTGTTATACTCTCTCAATTAAACACCAGTGGCAGCTCCCTGAGCATCGCCAAGCCAGACTAACTATTGTGGAAGTTTCTTAAATCACTGCACCCACTCTGCCTTTAAGTTGAATGTGGCTTCTGGGTACTTGGGAAGAATACTTTGGGAAAATAATAGTGATAAACTAAGATATTCAAACCCAACAGATTCAAATGTGTTGTGTTGACATTTCTAGTACAGATAAGAAGAGTTATGTCTGCTTTATCGATTTTTCTCTATATGCAACATCCAAAAGAAACCATTTTGATAGTTTCAATTTGAGGGAAAAATGTATTTCCTCTTCATCATCTATGTCATAAAATAAAAGAGATGTCATGACTCCCATAAATCAACAGATAGTTGTAAAATCAATTTTAACAAGGCACAGAGAAGCATAATTTTCATGCTTGTGAGCACCGTGCTCTATGACTCACTCACTCTGATTGCTTCCTACTTGGATCTTGCTGTCACTAATCCAGGAAAGAGATATACAGTTCACTGAAGATAATCTACTACACGGATTAGGATAACACCCACAGCCGACAATTTAATTATGGTCATGCACTGCTTGACAATGAGGCTATGTTCCGAGAAATGCATCCTTAGGGGATTTTGTCATTGTGTGAACATTATAGAGTGTATTTACACAAACCTAGATGGGAAAGCCTACTACACACCAAGGCTATATGCTATAGCCTATTGCTCCTAGACTACAAACCTGTACAGTGTGTTACTGTACTGAATATTGTAGTCAACTTTTTAACACCTAAACACAGAAAAGGTACAGTAAAAATGTAGCATAAAATATAAAAATTGGTACATCTGTATAGGGCATTTGCCACAAATGGAGCTCAAAGGACTGGAAGTTCTTCTGGATGAGTCAGTGAGTAAGGGATGAGTGAATGTGAAGGTCTACGTCATGATTGTACACTTTTATATAACAGGCAATGCAGTAGGTTTGTTTACACCAGTACTGCCACAGACATGAGTCATGTGTCACACTACATTATGACAGCTACAATGTCACTAGGCAATAGTAATTCTTCAACTCCATTACAATCTTCCGGGACCACCATTGTATATGTAGTCTGACGTTGACCAAAATGTTGCTATTCAGATGACTGTATTTATTCAGAAGCCTAAAGTGTGGGTTAGGTCTTCAGAGAGGTTGCAGACTAATATGGGATCCAAATGTATAAGCCAAAAATGAAACTAGTGTTCAGGGTCAGAGAAGTACCAAGTATAGAGATCAAACAGAGGAGGGATCTCCTAGAGGACAGGATTCTGCTTGGGAACCATGCCATTAGAGGCCTCGCTTTGTGCTTGGCTCGTATTAGGTATCTGGCAAATGTCCGCGGGGTGATTCAAAAGCAAGTGCTTAACTTGAGTGAGAGTGGGAGGGATGGCCTCGCAGAAATGGTGAAGCCTGAACTGAAAGCAATACTATCACTTGCTTCTGTAGAACTTGGTTCATATTTTTCTATTACAGCCCTTCTATCTAAGTCTAACCTCAGATCTGTATGGCCTTGGTGGCCAGTGACTCTCTTGGTCATCTATTTGCATAAATCAACACGAAGTAGGACTTCTGGGTTTGGGGGCTGAAAGAGGAGGGAGGAAATTTTGACTGGGATCTAGCTCAGAGAGAAGATGAGGGGAGTCTAGACTAGATGATGCCCACTGGTCCCCTGCCCTACCCAAGAATGTGTTTTTGAGCTCCTCTGGGGGAGAACTTAGGGACTGAAGAGATATTTGCATGAGCACTCTGTAAAGACTAAAGGGAACAACGATCTGCAACTCTGAAACCATTTCATAGGGAGAGGCAGCACCCAGGCCACGCTGGGCCAGCATTTTGCTACAAAGAAAGTAGCAACAGAGAATGTGGCAGAAAGTCAGGGGACACTGCTGCCTGCCCCTTCCCCCGCCCCTTCCTTCCTGCCCCTGCCCCTTCCTTCCCTCCTATCAGGCCTGATAGGAGAAGGGCTGGTCACAGAAGGCCCAGAGTCATTTCAGAAAACATTTGCAATACCAGCTAGGGATACTCAGAAATATTTGGGGTGTTTGGAAGCTCCAGAATCACAATGTAGGAAAGACTCAGTACCAGCAAGTGGGCAGCTGGGTGGTGGGGTGTCGGGGAACTTCAGGTTGCTTTGTATATACTTTAGCTGGGATTAAGAAAACATCATTGATTCAAATTTTAAAATGGGCATGGTGTGGACTAATGCTAATGGAGAAAATGGGGATGAAGGGTGGACACTAATCTCCCTGAGCACTGGCACATCTTTGGGAGGATTTTGCAGGAAGTGGGGCCCTGTATTTGTACAGGTGAGGTCTAGCAGCACAGCAAAATGAATAAATGAATACCAGGAAGGCCACATTGATTCCCACAGCCAATGGGCCTGGGAACAACAGGGTTTTTACACTCAACAAAACATTATCCACTTAAATATCTCTGCACCACCATACCCTGAGCTCCTCAGGGGCTGGAATCCAATTTTCTATTAATCTTTGAAATACAAGTGACATAGCACAGGTCTATGTTCCATAAAAGTCTTAAGAGCTGTCATATTGCATGAAAGGGAAGGAAAACAGAGAATTATTCTTTACTGAGCCCCTCCTATGCACCAGAAAGACAACTTTCATATGTCGTATCATTTAATCCTGTTATCAGTACTTGGGGGCATCAGAGAGGGACCCCCAAAAGCTTAGAAGTAAGATAAATAAAACTGTTTTCTGAGAGGTAAAATGGGAGATCAGTGCATGCTGGATCAGGAAAAAAGCTGTCTTATAAAATCATCTTAAAGAGATAAATGGCTCGTGGGCCTGCAAGACCTGATAGAACCTGATTAACTGCATAATCGTAACTGACAGTGTCAGGTTCTTCTTGTGTTGGTTATTCAGGAGGATGAGCAGACACAGACAGGCAGAGAAAAACAAATGTGGAGGCCAATGCTGGCCGGGCCATCCAAGCGCTATTGCAAGGAAGGCGGGAAGGGACTCAGGCCCCATTGGCCAGGCGGTTGCTCTTGAGAGAAGCCCATCCAGCAATTTCAGCCCTCTTTGTTAAACATTGGACTCATCTAACTCCATGCTGACAAGTCTCCTTCTGGCTACTATCTGGCATCCTACATAAATCTCCCTCAAGGAAGAGAATGCACTGGTCACATGGATTCAGTTCTTTTCACTGGTCTCAGGGACACTTCTATCTCCTGGTAAATGAATAAATTGGCATCTGATGATGATTTATCTTGCCCTGAGATTCACCCTCAAGGAGGACATGAATTGGTCACATTGACACAAGTGATCTTCTTCCAAGGATAACTGTTTCCCTTCATAAAATGATAGACATCCAGAGTTTGTGCACCATCCGGAGAACGTGGCTGCAGGGAGTGCGGTCTTCAGCAAGGCCCTGCTCTCTGGCTGCCGCCAACTCAGCTGGTTGAGCTTCAAAGGCTGAGAACCGGACAGCCTTTCACTGTTTTGACCACGGTAAGTTCATGATGTGGTGATGAATGCTGTCATATGAAGTCTCTTAGAAGACAAGCAGCCTGTAGCCCCCGAGGGGCAGCAGGCATATACCTCTCTGCTGTGCAATCTCATTTTAGGGATGAGGGAATTGAGTCTCCCAGAAGTAAAACAACTTGCCCAGGTTCACAGAGGTGAGTTTGGAATTTAGAGCTATCTGGTTTTAAAGCTCATGTTCTTACTAGAGTGTCATATTGAATAACACTTGACATGTCTAAGACAATTTACAATTTCCCCTAACTAGTATCTCATCTAATCCTCACAAGAACTCTGAATAGCGGTGACACTGAACCGAAGCAGCCTTGCACTGTGTCCAGCTACAGGTTGTGAGGGGGCCTGCAGCTCTGTCCAGGGTAAGGGTCCACATGGAGGCGCAGTGGGATCTAAGGGTGACTGCAGCAAGTGTTTTCCCTCTGCACAGCCACTGAGCCTGCACATGGACTAAGACGGAGCTTCTAACGGAGCTAGTGAGGAAAGTAGAGTTAGCTGAAAGTAGAGGAATGTGTGGGTTATGCAAGAATTTCAGAACTTCTGCAGGGAGCCCAGTTTGTAAGCCACACAGGGAAGAAGATTCCTGGCCTCTGGGTCAAAACCTCCTGAGGATCTCCAGGAAGCCCTGTGGCTCAGGGCTACAGGAAACACATGAGCCACAGCCCTGAGTGTTTCTAGTCTTGTTAAACTTACTCCTACCACCTATGAAAAACCACTCTCTCTCCTCTCCATTCCCAAACTCCTGGTTCTTATTTTTCCTGCTGACTGGGTGGTGACAGGAGAGGGACACGTTAGGTTTGGCATTGGGCAGCACTTTTACTGGGTACACCAATGTTTGTGAGTGAAGCAGCCTAACGTTAGCATTCATGCTTTTCACAGAGGAAGACTCCGAGGTTTCTGGAGTTGAGGGTGCCTGAATCCTATCCAGTATCTTTTCCAGTGTAAGGAAAGCAGCCCCGGGGAGCCTGCAAAGCCCTCTGGTGCCCTTTGAGGATGGTTTTCTCCAAGGCTGCCTCTTTCAAAATTATCCCAGGTGTGGAAAAAGAGAGATGGGTTCAAGCGGGGGCTGCTCCCAGCCCCTTCCAGAGAATGGTCTTGGAAACAGCCTGGAGCCTGTCTTTCCCTGCCCCAGGCCTTTGCTTCTCTACCCTCCCTTTTCTAGTAGGGAGAAAAAAAGGGCAGATTCCATTTCTCAGTTTCATACCTAGAAACTCATACCCGGGAAGACACAGTAGCTAGCTAATTCTTTGGTTTATGATGTTTTCTCCAACCATCACTTCATTTAGAAATTGAATCACATTATAATTTATTCCCGCTAAATGAAATCCAGTAGTCAACTTGTTTTGCAATACGGATTGATCAATATTCAGAATGGGTAGTATAGAGCGTATATTGTCTGTTTTGTCTTCTTTTGCCCTGTTCCCAAAGATTTCCTTTCAGACAGACAGACATCTTTTAATGAAGAAACTTTTTTAAAAAGTCCATTTGCATTATGTTAAAATGCAAACAAAAGATAGTTGGTCAATGTGGGAAGTAGTTGGCTGACTCCACAGACTGAAACACAAAGGAACCAAAAGATCAAGCAGCAACAACACACTACTTTTTCTGCCTCCTTGTTAAGTTAGAAACCAGATTCTTCATATATTATTGATTTCTATGATATTTAGTTTCAGATTCAATAGAGCAATACATTGAAACCTTTAATGGGTGTAAAGATGTTATGTCTTGAGAACGTAATAACATAAAAACTCTTCCTTAAGTAACCTTAAATAGTGGGCCCAAAACCTTTTTAAATTCCTTATATAAAATACAACTTTTAAAACTCTTTTTTCTGTAACCTTTTGAATTATAATATTCTTATGCAAATTTTAAGTCTTTATTATTTATTCATAGTCCCTCATCTATCAGGCATCCAATGGGGAGAAAAATCTTGTCGAGCAAAGTCATTAAGTGATTTAATTTTGAACATCCAACACATGATACTTAATCTTCTGAACTTAAAATTACTTTCTAACTGCACGACAAAGCCATTAATATTACAAAAAGCATTGACCTCTTTAGAGTGACTACCAAACCAGGTACTGCTCACGTGCCTCTTGATAATGGATGTAATCGAAAGAAGGTACAGCCCCCCCAATGACAATAAGCAATGATTCAAAATGAACAAAAATTTTAAAGATTCTAATTCCAGGGGTCCTAAGAGTGCAGTTCTAAATTTTTCATGTTGAAATGAAATCTTCGTTTCGAAGCAAAAGAAGCTTCACCTATATCTATTATGTGAATTTGAAAAAATAGAAAAAGTCAAACTATGCCTTTCTTGGCAGGATCCCTTCACAACTGAGAAAATGAATGTGGGCAGAGGAGATTAGATCATTAAGCACAGCAAACACTCTCTCCATGGCATTCTCTGGGGAAATCAACACACTTTGCTGTTTTGTCATTACTTCTATGATTCCTTCGTAGAAATTCGTTTAGTGGAGCAAAATTCCCATAAGCCCAAATAATGTATCTTAAAGCTAAATGCACATCCAAAATGCAAATCTTATGTTTAAAAGTAATAATTCTCCCTAGAATGATTACTTATTTGCTATTTGAAAACAATGGTCTCAGCCAGGCATGGTGGCGCACACCTGTAATCCTACTTCTTTGGGAGGCCAAGGCAGGTAGATCACCTGAGGTCGGGAGTTCCAGACCAGCCTGGCCAACATGGTGAAACCCTGTCTCTACTAAAAATACAAAAATTAGCCATGGTAGCGGGTGCCTGCAATCCCAGCTACTCAGGGGGCTGAGGCAGGAGAATCACTTGAACCTGGGAGGTGGAGGTTGCAGTGATCCAAGGTGGTGCCACTGTACTCCAGCCTGGATGACAGAGAACCTGTCTCAAAAAAAAAATAAAAATAAATAAAAATAAAAATAAAAAGGTTTTTTCATTGCCCTAGTCGTTATATAAATGGCAACCTGAAGATGTGGCAAGTCAGAATATTACTAGTAAACCACAGTACCTGTTCCTGGAACCCGGAACCCCAATTCTGTATCCGCAAACAGGAACAACTTGCTGTTTTCAACTGGTCTGGAAATAATGTGCAAGGAAATAAAAGAAGGCAACAACAAAAGCTGCTGTTCCATACCTGTTCCACTGTTTCAAAGCAAACAGCTGCTCATTTCCATCCTTCCCCCTGTGCAGGGTTAAGCGGGTCAATAGAGTCAGGTTACTTTTCATTTGTTACTTTGCCAGCCAATTGGTTATCTCTCTGGAAAACACAACAAGAGAGAATGAAACATGCATGACCGTAAAGCTTGCAATTACAAGGCATCCACTGATACCAAAATATATGCCGCATCCCACTTTTGATCCTTTGTCAACTGGTGCTTGGTTCAACCAAACACCACTGAAGAACTGCCTCCAGTGTCTCCACCAGGACTCTCCACTAAGGAAATAAGCTCATCTCCTGACATGTGAAGTGGGTTCCTTCAAACTTCATTTTCTTTTTGGTCTACGGCTAGTACTGATCAGTTGATTTAAAATTACTGGAAAGACCATGCAATATTAATAAGCGGGAAACTTTAATTGCTCACTATTTATTAACCCAATATTTTCAAATCTGCATATTTAACCCTTGTCTAGTTAACAGGCATTGAGTCACAGTACTGACTGAGGTGGTTTTAAGAGTTAAGGCGTCTCGTGCTAATGCCCATACTCTCACAGACATTAAAAATTCTCGTGAGACAACAATTCTTATGATTTCGAGTAAGATCCCACAGACTAAAAATGTGTTACGTGAGACAGGTTTTATCCCTGAATTTGGCACAGTGGGGTCCTGAAACCTGAAGGAGTAGTTTAAGTGTGCTGCTTACCAAGACAAGTAGCCCAGCTTCAGGCAATTTTGTGTGAATGATTTAGAGCACTCTCGCCTCTAGAGGGCATTGGTATTTTAGATACCTTTGGATTTCCAGCCAGAGTTTATGAAGCTGCCCATCATCACATAAGAAGAAGAAGGAAGAGGAGGAGGAGGAAGGAGGAGGGAGGAGGAGGGAGGAGGGAGGAAGGAGGAAGGAGGAGGGAGGAGAAGAACAAGAAGAAGATAAAGAAGAAGGAAGAAGAAGAAGAAGGAAGAAGAAGAAGAAGAAACGCAAACAAATTTAGAACTAAATACGCAAGTTCCAGCATCACCTCAGTTTAAGGACAGTGTCCTTTGATGAAATAAAAGTAGTTGCTATATACATATGGTGAGCTTTGTATGTTTATTGCAGCACTATTCACAATAGCAAAGACTTGGAATCAACCCAAATGTCCATCAGTGACAGACTGGATTAAGAAAATGTGGCACTTATACACCATGGAATACTATGCCGCCATAAAAAAGGATGAGTTCATGTCCTTTGCAGGGACATGGATGCAGCTGGAAACCATCATTCTCAGAAAACTATCACAAGAACAGAAAACCAAACACCGCATGTTCTCACTCATAGGTGGGAATTGAACAATGAGATCACTTGGACACAGGAAGGAGAACATCACACACCAGGGCCTATTGTGGGGAGGGGGGAGGGGGGAGGGATAGCATTAGGAGATATACCTAATGTAAATGACGAGTTAATGGGTGCAGCACACCAACGTGGTACATGTATACATATGTAACAAACCTGCACGTTGTGCACATGTACCCTAGAACTTAAAGTATAATAATAAATAAATAAATAAATAAATAAATATGGTGAACTTATGGGTAGCTTTTTAAAAATATATGTTTTAGTTTATGTTTCAGATTTAGTCTAATAAGAAATACTTTTAATAAGAGTCATTCTTTTTGGACAGTTAATCACTCTCCTTAACCATTAATCTTTATTTTAAAGTATTACATAGAACATTAGTTTCAAAAAGTTAAATAACGCAGAACTCTTCAGCGAAGTGGAACTGTAGCTGAGTTTCAAAGAGGAAGTGCAGTATTCATTCAACAATTAGTCACCTATTGAATTCAAACACTGGACTAACTGCTAGAAATATACTGATAAACAAAAGTCAACACAGACCCTGGGTGTGTGAGTCAAAGAGTTACAGCCTTCCGAGAGAGGCAGTGAGCAATCAAATGGTCACCCAAAAAAGTGGAAAAGTAAGACTTTGGAGAGATACTACAAGAACATAAAATCAGTGAACACGGGAAGATTAGAGAAAGCTTCCCTGAACAAAAACATCTGGGCAGAGATCTGAAAAGAACTAGATAAAGGAGTTGCTGATAGTAGCAAATATATTCCAAGCAGGTGGAAGAGCATGTTCAAAGGTCCTATGTGCTTAAGTCAGAGAAATTAAAAGGACATACTGACGCGTACTGTCATACAATGGACGTCATTACATGCCTGTAAGCATATGGCTTCCGATATCAAAAGATACGTCCAGAGATCAATGGGATCATATTCCACATAACCAGGTGAGACTTTCTAGAAGTGGTGAGTTTCAAATGATGTTTGCAAAAGGAAATAACTCATGGTAAGCACATTAAACAATTCTGTGATTCAAAATGCACTAATGTATTGTAAAAGCATTGCCAAGTGGATCATTTATATTTTGAAAAAGAGAACTTAGTAGATCTTCCAAGACTGAACCAAAGAATCCTATCTCTGAGGTGGGAAACTGAAGATAGAACCATGATGGGGAGGAGGGTTTTACATGCTAATCTTCCTTGTTTTCTCTATTTGTGGGGTCTTCACCATTCCTTTAGGGGCTTCTAGGGAACTTTTATACACCTCTTTCAATTGCCACATATGGTTAGGGTTATTTTAAGAAATGACTGGTGCACCACCACAGAATCTGCAGCAGGTAGCAGCTGAATTATTTGAATATTCCACCCGAACTATCTAACACATAAGCATTAGGGTTACATAGTCTTTCTTTTAAATTTCATATCTCAGCAAGCTCAAACACCACTTGTTTTGAACATGTGATGTGCAAGGACATGATGAACAAACACATTATTATTACTAATATTGTTATTATTTTTACTACCTCTCTACATCATTTGTGTTATTAGTATTACAATATATGAAACTCAAGCCATCACTTTGTAAATTTCAAAGAGAGAAATCATCTGGTCAAGATTCATTGCATTAACTTACTTGGGAAAGGGAAGAAAACAGGTGGTTGCTCTGATTGCATAAAATGAAAAAGCTGTCACTACTACTTCAGTATCTAAGATGTCGCTACTGAACAATTCTGGCAATTCTTCTGTAAAATCAAGTGCCTATATGTTTCTTCAGAAGAACAAACTGGTTAATTCCTATTATGTTTTATCATTTTACAAAGTTAAAAAAAGTCCCTTTTAAAGAGAAGTTACAAAGGGGAGAGAATTTTAATGTGCTGAAATCTATAAACATGTATAAAACATAGAAATACAGAAGGCGAAGCAGAGAGACCTAGATTATAACTCTCTCTAGAAGCACTTGGAAAGATTTTAAGAATTCTGACGCCTGGGGCCCACCTAGACTATCCCAAAGCAAAAATCTGGCTCAGTGGTGCTGGGCTTGTGTACGTTTTAAGGCTCATGGGGTGGTTCTAAAGAGCTATGCCTGGGTTGAGAGCCCTGTTTACCCCGTGTCAGAGAGATCTGACTGGCGACAGCTCTCCAGTCAAGCAATGTGGAAAACACCTGCTGACCAGCAGCTCTCTGGAGGAATTTCCCACTGCCTGGGTTTCCCAAGAAAACATTTACTGAAGATAATGGCATCCTTGTGAAAAAACACAAAATAAAATTCAGTTTGACTCAAGAAGGAGTATCCAAAAACATTCTTATTTCTTAAACATTGGGCAAGTCGCCTTTTTTTTTTTTTTGAGTCTCACTCTGTTGCCAGGCTGGAGTGCAGTTCAGTGGCACGATCTTGGCTCACTGCAACCTCTGCCTCCCGGGTTCAAGCGATTCTCCTGCCTCAGCCTCCCAAGTAGCTGGGACTATAGGCACATGCCCCTACTCCCGGCTAATTTTTTGTATTTTAGTAGAGACGGGGTTTCACCATGTTAGCCAGGATGGTCTCGATCTCCTGACCTCATGATCTGCCTGCCTCGGCCCCCCAAACACAGGTGTGAGCCACCGTGTGTGGCCACAAGTCACTTTCTTGAAGCCTATGTCTCCCCTGAAAATCATCATAAAATATAAACCCATTTTACTTTTTATCTCCCAGAACTTTTATCAAATGTCTATTACGACTTGCCAAGAATTATACTAAGAACTTTTATATACATAGATTATTTTCTAGGGTTGAAGTTTGGGAAAGTTTTAAGAAGGTACTCTCTCCCTGCCTCCCAAAATGGGAACACAGTACATTGGAAGAGCTTTAAGAATTTGAATGTGTAATCCTGATAGATTTCATTCCAAATTTAAAATGCATCAGTGGATGGAATGAGTTATACAACAAATGGAAATTGCTCCCCCGTATCACAGTGCAAGGCACTATACTGGGTATTTTGGGAGACTAAGAGGTGGTGATGATGATGATGATGATGATGATGTTGTTAGTGATAGTAGCTAACACTAACTAGATTATCTCATTGAAGCCCTAAAAAGTATAAAGTGGACTGGGCGCAGTGGGTCACGCCTGTAATCGCAGCACTTTGGGAGGCCAAAGCTGGTGGATCACCTGAGGTCGGGAGTTTGAGACCAGCCTGGCCAACATGATGAAACCCCATCTCTACTAAAAATACAAAAAATTAGCCAGGCATGGTGGTGGGCACCTATAATCCCACCTACTCAGGAGACTGAGGCAGGAGAATCGCTTGAACCCAGGAGGCAGAGGTTGCAGTGAGCCAAGATCGCACCACTGCACTCCAGCCTGGGCAACAAGAGCGAAATTCCATCTCAAAAAAAAAAAAAAAAAAAAAAGAAGTATGAAGTGGGTGTTTTTATGCACTCATTTTCTAGAGGAGGAATTTAAGATTGAGGAGGTTGAGTGAATTGCCCAAGGTGACCAGCCAGTAAACAGTGGACTCTGGCTTTGAAATCAGGCTGGTTGATTCCATAGCTTAAGCTGTCACCCATTACAGAGCTTTGCTTCAGGAGCTTGTAATTCCAGGGGACTGCTGCCTACTATATTCCCTTGCTTATCAGTCTATGACTGTGCCAAGTGGTGCATGTTTTAAAGCTCAAGAAAAACACTGGGGTAATGGACTTAAACAAGGAACTACCAAGCGTGTTCACTAATAAAATCCAACTCACAGTTCTAGTGTCAAGGTTAAGAACTTACTTCCTTTGGTTAAGTAAATTTT